AGCAGTCGCCAGGGGTCTGAGTGGCGTTAATGAGTCAGTCGATGTCGGACATTATAGTATCAACCATCACAACTAGATTGCTGCGTCATTAACTATTATTTCAAATTCCTAACGTTTTGTACGTCGAACTTATTTTAGGACCGACTTAGTGAAATACAAGCCTCCACTGCAAAAACTACACTACAACAGAAAGTAAATTCTGTCAATATTCGAATTCGAGACAGGTTTATGTTTGGAGAAATCAGAATGAAACTTAGAACAAAGAATGTCTGCAGGCGACCTTGAAACATGGAGGGATTGGAGTAATAGTGTGATGCGCTGTCTGGTTTGAAGAGGAATCTGAGCTGATTCTTGTTGAAAAGCGGTCGAATGGTCCAAAATACTGTCAAATATTAGAGAAAGGACTACTACTATTTGAAACCAATCAGATTGACAAGAATGTTTATCTTCTTCACGAAGATGGAACGCCATGTCATACGAGCAAAATAGCAAATGCCTGGAAGTAATCGCAAGGAATAAAGTCACTGCCATTGGTATCCCAAAGTCTTGACATGAATCCAATAGAGCACCTTGAGCGAAAACCTCGAGACTGTGCAACCAAAATCACGTCAGTGGCAACCTCTTCCTAAAGGAGTTGCAAAATAGGGATCAGACGATTGTTGATAACTTGATCAAATCAATGAAAAATCGAATACAAGCACCGAAACTAGCAAAAGGACCTACTCCATACTAGTTCCAAATACTGTTTATTTATGTTGAGTTGAGTTTACGTAATTAAATTTTTAAATTGGATGTAATTTATTTCTCCTGGCTAAAAACTTTTCTTGGGCCATTGTAATATCCTACAATTTCTTAAAGAAATCAAACTACCCACATGTTCACCATCTCTAGTAAGTCTACCCACGCAAATATCTATATGCAGAAAAGCTGAGAATCATCTACCATGTACTTACTTGTGAAAGAGGAATAATATATATCATATTTTTATTACTTCAATGCTCCCAAGAAAATTAAATTTCGGAGTTAAATGACGCATAAGCTGTTGATATGCCGTTAAACTAACAAAGCAATCAATCAATAATCACCCTTATGAAATGAATTTTCGTATGACAGCAAATAGACTAAACACAATAAGATTTCTTAGTGACACTGATTCGGAATGTAACATGCGGCTGCTACGCTTACTATCACTCGGGCTCCGAATGACAACTGGATACGTTGTTCTTGATATCGCTTTTAACTTAATAACTATATAAGCTTAGAAGCTGAGAATTTGCAGAATAATAATGTCATAGATGTTCTAAATGATGTATAATTGTATAATTTGTATCTTTTCCCATAAATTAGAAGTAAATTACATTTCATTTTAATTTGCAATATACTAAGTCTAGATATCTTAAGACAACGTCTTTATTTTGTCAGGAATTGCTTAATTGATAGAATATATTTTCTTAATATCTCCGCTATACTTTGTTAATTTTACCAAATTTTACAAAATTCATACAGATTTTAAAATATTTTCTTTACAAACGCTACAAAACAATTGCTAACGACAGCATATAAAAACGACCACTGGTGCTGAAATATACAGAATATATAAAATGAATATACAAGGATTTAGTAAAATTGATATGATTTAAATAGGACATTTAGCCTAATGGGTAAAAGCGTGATTTGACTCAAGGATTTGTGAGTTCAATACCTGGCTATGGCAGTGATGAACACAAACTTGGGGACTTGAGTTAAAGAGAGAGAGCTGAGACATCGGGAAGAGGCAGTGAACTTAGAACAATCTACTCCGGTGGACGAAATAAATATTTCAGTTCGAAATTCTAATGAAGTAAATATTTGAGTAACTATATAGTCTAGGCAAATGAAAGAAACAGGCTTATTGTTGAATAACCTGATTTATGGATGTATTCATCAAAATTTAAATTAGAAATGTGTGGATTTATTCATAAAAATTTGAATGTGTGGATTTATTCATCAAAATTGGAATGTCTGGATTTAGTCATCAAAATTTGAATGTGAAATATGTGGATTTATTCATCAAAATTTGAATGTGAAATATGTGGATTTAGTCATCAAAATTTGAATGTGAAATATGTGGATTTAGTCATCAAAATTTGAATGTTTGAACTTATTCATCAAAATTGGATTGTGAAATGTGTGGATTTATTCATCAAAATTTGAATGCGTGAATTTAGTCATCAAAATTGGAATGTGAAATGTGTGGATTTATTCATCCACACCTGAATGTGAAATGTGTGGATCTCATGAACGATTTCTTACGTTTTCAGTCGCCTTTGACATGGCACACGTCAAGTCGGTCGTCCATCTTCTGCCAAAACACGTCGCAGTTTATCTTTAGTAACAGTCTCCAGTGTGGTATTTAGTGTTTTCTTAGCGAATTTACTCACAAATGCACGCTGAAATGTTGGACGATGTTCGATCATACTCTAACAAAGAAAACGACTTTTCTTTTCAAGTGAATGGCATGTTTATACTCAAAAAATGAATATATAAAGAATTAAATATCTAGTTTGTTCTACCTTAACAAGGAAAGACCGAGATGTCAATATATTAGCAAGCTTAAATTCGTGCTGTCGAAACACCAAAAACAATTTGTCGAAAGGACAGAAGGAAGTCACCTTACGACAGTGGAAAAGTGTCGCGATTTACATTAAAAACTCTTCTTTGAATTTCTTGAAGCATTTCCAGATACAGAATACGAACACTAAACCAGATATAGCTGCAGTATTCAAATGCGCAGACGAATGGTAGATTTATAAATGTGAATGGTGAATTTAGACAAGAATACTTTGGCATGACACAGAGAACCAACTAGCAGTAGACAGAAAAGAATAGAGAAAGAAAGAATAAAGTTTTTCTGTACTTTACTTTAGCATCTGCCATGTTGTTGTCAGGCAGGAAATGTTCTCAGTGGTGATTATTAAATGAAAGTAGTTTTGTTTTGGAGGCGTGAAAATTTACAATCATTTTTTGCTTCAGTTAACCAAAGATTGAAGATCATTTTCGAGAGTTACTTTGTCGGAGGCATTGAGGAGAAGGCCAGCATTCTAAACGCCTTTCAAATATCTAGGGACACAGCTCGAGGTTGGCTGTTCTTACATAAAGTTTCATAGACAAATTCTGTGATGGCTGTTAACACATCGGCGGTAGACCTAGCGAAATAGAAGGCATAGTAGTTATCTTCAAGGACGTCATGTGATGTAAGATGCTTAACCAAATCGGCGTTGATTGAAGGATCTAGCACATTCTCAGAAAGAATTAAGAGACTAATACACTGAATTATTAAAGGCAGAAACCTCAGTGAAGGACTTCTAATAAACTGGAAAGCTAGAAGCAGCGAAACATTTTTTTAAAATTTGGAGAGAACAATGGCCAGTTCGGTAGTTCATTTTCTTCGAACGATTACAAGAATACCATCAAATCTGCAAATTTTGCGGAAATTTAGTTTAGAAATTCTAGCTCTGTTATAGGAGGAAATCAGAGAGAGAGAGAGAGAGAGAGAGAGACAGAAAGTGAGAGAGAGAGACTCCAGATGACTTGAAAGCGAAACTGAAAGTGAGTTTCTGACCATAGCACTCTGCATTATCTGCAGTAGACACGCTAATTCCATCGCAAATGTCTTGTCGAACTACATTACCTAGATTCACCAACTCAAACATTCATGTCTAAGACCCGCCATGCTGGTCATAGGCATAAAAGAGCGAACCATCCTTATTCAATGGGGCGAAGGGTACTAATACTATTCATACTCAATTGGGAAAAGCGGTTGTTTATTTTGACAGATTCTTACCAAGAGGCTCTGCTTTGTGGAACAGATATAATGCTTCCATGTCCACCAAAAACTTTTACAATGATGTTCACAAGGCCCTGAAGGGAGCTACTCGAGGTAGAGGCTTACAGAGTAAAGAGAGGCAGTTCATGCAGATATGTGTGGAAGAAGACGGTGAATCCTAACCTTGGTAAATTTAAGATTGTAATGATTGGGAAAACACCCGACTGGGAGTGGGTTCCACGGAGCAGCGATTCGTGAAAGAAGCTGCTCCATTGGACCTGTCACCAATGGAATACGAAGGAGACGAGGGTGATTCGCTAAAAGGTGCTTAGAACGGCGGGTTTTTGCCGTAAAGGAATGTTGTTCGTCTGATCACTTTCCATGGAAAGAGCGATAGTATCTTGTAAGCATATTTCTTTCTTTTTTTTTTTTGAGAAATTTTTCAAGGTTCAGTTCCAACTATTTAACCCATATTTTTGAGGAAAACATGTATCCACTCCTTTCCCGAGTGTATTTTCAAGTAAGTGAATGTAAAGAATTCGATTGAAATTCGAACTCGGCCCTCCAAATTCTCATTCCGTCATTTTAGTAAATCTCACGAACAGTAATTTAGAATACGGAGTATATAAAAACCGTAAGGAGTATATGAAAACTGTAAGGAGTATATGAAAACTGTAAGGAGTATGTGGAAACTGTAAGGAGTATATGAAAACTATAAGGTGTATGTGAAAACTGTAAGGAGTATATGAAAACTATAAGGAGTATGTGAAAACTGTAAGGAGTATATGAAAACTGATTTTTCAAAAGTAGAGAATGATTATTGTTTATTCATTGATTCATTTTTACGGCTTATCAACCATTTGCAGGTTATTTAAAACATTTTTATATTGTAAGAATTTTGTTTATTCTTTTAGATAATAATGGTTTCATAATAGAACTCTTACTAATTAACCTATAGCTGAGGGAAGAAGAGGTGGATTCAAACATTTCCCAAGGACATTTGGGCGTAAGTGAATATAACGAAGTCACTTAACTATTCGAGAGCATTATCCATTACATCCGATTGCACATCCAAGTTTAGAGCACATGATATTCCCAAGCGGTCACCCATCTAGGTACTGACCAGGCTCGACGTTGCTTAACTACGGTGCTTCAACGTGATATGACCGTTATCCATTATATCCGCACATATAAGCTTACAGCACCTTGTATTCCCAAGCGGTCACCCATCAAGATACTGGTCAGGATTAACGTTGCTTAACTTCGGGAATCGTAAGGTAAACGGCGTTTCAACGTGATGTGGTCGTAAGCCATGATTATTGTCGGACATCAGTAAACCAACGTAATGACTAGACAAGTTGTTGGCTCCACGAACACGACATTGACTTTAACTGAGATGATGTTAAATGTTTTGGAGTAACATTTTAGGCAATAAAATTATAGATGCCATGAATTTTGATGATGGCGTTAATGTAGACACTGAGAATTATTGTACATTCTTGTACAATACTTTTTGAGTAGTACAGGTCGCGAACAAGAAGATTATAGCTAAAGATTACATTCATGAAAAAACAAATGCTCCTTCTGAAAAACTAACTATATATTTCAATATAAAAAAATAATAATAATAATAGTTTCAAAGACGCCAAATTAATGGAATCGCCAACGGCATCTCCAAATATTAAACAAAAACATTTTTCAACCTAGTGTGTATGCCAATGGAAAACAATATCTAATCAAAGAAATAATAAAAGCCTCTTGAAGTCGAAAGAGTTGAAAAAGTTAACAAAATCAGTTTGCGAAAAACGAAGGAAAAAAATATAAAATCTCAAGTGACCTATGTAAAAAATAGTAAATTAATATTTTATTCACGCTTGTGAAATATCGTGTTAATTAAATATGGTGATTTTTTAAGCGTACCTTAGGTGTGGTACAAAGCCAAAAGTATGGGGCATCCAGTGATTACCTAAATCCCTATTCAGTCGTAACTGATCTAAGGAGACCAACTTGCTAACGATTATACCACGCCGAAGCGCCCTGGTGATTTTCGAAAGGCATCTTAGATGTGGTACAAGGCCGAAAGTATCGAGCCCCCGGTAATTGTGTAACTCCATATTCAGTAGTAACTGATCTAGAGAGATAGAGAGACCAACTTGCTAAGGATTATACCACGATGAAGCACCTTGATGATTTTCTAAGTGTTTGGTGTACTCGATAAGTAGTAATAAATATAGTGAAACAAGCTCGCTAACCATTATCCCCTCAACGTCGACGTAACCAAATGATTTTCTAAGCGTAGCTGAGATGTGGCACAATGTCGAAAATAAGGGGCACTCACTCTTCAGTCATAACTGATCTCGCAAGACAAGCTTGCTAACCATTGCACACGTCGAAGTGTCTAAATGATTTTCTAAGCGTACCTTTTATGTTACAAGCCAAAAGTACGGTACACCCAGTGAGGATCGAACTCACTATTCATTGATCTAATAAGACAGGTTTGCTAATCAATACAAATGTCGATATGTCTTGGGTTATATTAACATATTTCTGTGTCGTGAATATTTTCTTACTGACCAGGAAATCGCTGACTGGACGGGAACTGGTGTTTCAAATTTATATGACCGTAAGCCAGAAACTCTTGGCATATAGAAGGAACCCCAGTGGAGCACTTCGACGTTGTGTATTGGTTAACAAGTTTGTCTCTCTAGATCAATTACGACTTAGTAGTGTGTTCGATCTCCACTGTGTGCTCCACAGTTTCGGACTTGTGTCATATCTAAGCAATGCTTAGGAAATTATTTTGGGCACCTCGGCGTGGTGTAATGTTTAGCAAGTTTGTCTGGCTAGATCAATTACGACTGAGTAATTCGATGATGACCGGATGCGCCACAATTTCGGCTTTGTGCCACATTTAAGCTACGCGGAAAAAAAAATCATTAACGTGTTCAATCCTAACTGGATGCACCTTACACGCTTAGGAAACCTCCATAACCGAAGCACCAGACCAGATGTATCAGCAATATTCGACCCACAGACGAATGGTAGACTTAAATATGCAGATAGATCCAAACGAGAGAAAAAAATTGTCTCAAACTATATAAGGAACTAATTTTTTTAGCAGTTGACCTGTGAAGTAAGATGCTTAACCAAATCAGCGTTGATTAAAGGCTCTAGCATTTTGCAGAAAAAAATGAGATTAGAGACTGATACGCTGAGTTCTTAAAAACAGGAACCTCAGAGGATGACTTATAACAAGCTGGAAAGCAAGAAGTAGCGAGACATTTATTGTAAAGAGAGAACAAGAGCCAGATCAGGAGCATATTTTCAATTACAAGGATACCGACGAAGGGACAAACTTTGCAGAAAATTAGTTTAGAAATTATAGCAGAAATCATGAATAGAGTTGTGTGCATATCACTCAGTAGAAGCTCTGTTCTGGGGGGGGGAACAAACAGAGATAATTCAGGTTTGAGAGCGGAATTGAAATAATAAAAGCCCCTTCAAGTCGAAAGAGTTGAAAAAGTTAACAAAATCAGTTTGCCAAAAACGAAGGAAAAAAATATAAAATCTCAAGTGACCTATGTAAAAAAAAGTAAATTAATATTTTATTCACGCTTGTGAAATATCGTGTTAATTAAATATGGTGATTTTTTAAGCGTACCTTAGGTGTGGTACAAGGCCAAAAGTATGAGGCATCCAGTGATTGACTAAATCCTTATTCAGTCGTAAGTAATCTAAGGAGACCAACTTGCTAACGATTATACAAACGCCCTGGTGATTTCCGAAAGGCCAAGCACTGTGCTTTAACTACAATAGACAGTCAAATTCCATCGAAAATATGTTGTCGAGGTACATTGCCTAGATCAAGTTCAGACTTTTATGTCTATTACTCGTCATGCTATATAGAAAGTGACAAATCAATCTTATTCTATTCGTACTGCATTGGTTAAAAGGGTGGTTAATTTTGACAGCTTCTTACCAAGAGGCTCTGCTTTGGGGAACAGACCAACGATATAATACTTCCACAGCCACTAAAATCTTAAACATATTTTTACAATGATTTTCACTCTGTACAAGGCCCTAGAGTTAATCGAGGTAGAATCTTATTGAGTAAAAACACGGTTTAGTCAGATTCGCTAAGGAGATTCCCATAACAGTAGCGTCAGAACAGATGAACAATATTCGAACCATGGATGATTAGTAGATATATCAGCGTGCAAGATAGATTCTGGCGAGATAAAAAAAAAAATTACAAAATTTATGAAGGGCCACAAAATACAGGAAATTGTGGATAACCATGATCGCTTACGTTTTGAGGGGACACAACAATAAAGAAGTCAAAATTTGTTTAAATGTCTGAATTTAGAGATGAGTTCTAATCGTTTATTTATTAATCTGTATTCATTTGCAAAGATAATTATAACCATTTTCTCCGGCGAACATTTATAATCAACCTCAAATGTTTAAATAATCGATAATATAAAATGTAATAATTATTATAATCACAGGCACTTGTGTTGATGGATGCATTCTTAATTTATGTTGGTTTGGAAAGGTTTAGATAGAATCAAGATAGAGTTTAGAATTTTAGATTTATTGTTGTAGACTGGTGCCGTTTTCCTTATTTCCCCTCAGTGTTCTTATATATATATATATATATATATATATATATTATAAATTAATTGATTTAAAATATGTTTTTCCGCTACACAGTTCTAACCATGTTTCAAAAATGGAAGCTAAAAGCCACGAATTTAATTTTACAATTTAATTCCATTTCATCCTTAATTTTGCAAATTAGTTCCATTTCATCCTCAAGCGAATTATATATCTTACTGTTCTTTCTTTATATATATATATATATATATATATATATATATATATATATATATATATATATATATATAGGTAAAAATCCGTAGATCCTAATAGTATATATAATTAAAACTGATCTACAAAGGGAGCTCAATGTATTTATTATAACGGAGTATGTATAAATAAATAAATTACGTAAAATAGAAATTAAAAAAAAAACTCCATTTATATAGCTATTTCACCTCACAAGAACAATCTTGCAGGGTTTGACAACACCAAGGAGTTAGGAAATAAAATAAAAAGGTAGCATAAAATTTTTAAACTTTAAAGAATCAAGAAAGAAAGAGGAAGAGAGAAAGATAAAAGAAAAGTGTAAAGAAAAAAGGAAAAAAAGGAAAAGGAGAAAGAATAATATAACAGAGGACGCAGGATGGTGGGGGGGGCGTGTTAGGATTCAGACATCACTTAAAATAACCTTGATCTATATTTAACAGAGAAAGGGACTGAAGAGTAAAGATTAGGTCCACAGAGTGATAGGATGTCCAGAGGCTTTTCGAAAAAGAACGCTTCCACACTGCAGAAGTTAAAAACAGGTTAAGATGTTTACGTGTTTTTTGTTGAACTACTTTAGGTTTATATTTTTGGTTGTTTATAGCCATGATGATAAACGGCTTAGGGTAGTAGTAGCCGACCCTCATATATATATATATATATATATATATATAATTATTTATGATTCCAACACGCATGTTGGAATCATATTTTTTAATTAAATAAATAATTATATTTATGCTCTACTTTTATATCAAGCACTATTTTTTAAAATAATAACAAAATACAAAAAGAAATTTAGATTAATTTACCTAACGAGTTCTTTCCTATTTTCTATATATTTTTCACATATATTTATATATATATATATATATATTACAATATTTTATATTTTCTTCGTTACAAAGATTGCCTTAAAGAGTCACTATACAAGTGCAATATTGGTCTGGATAAATGGCAGACTCTAGGTGAAGACCGGGTTTCTTAGACAGATGGTACTACTGAAGGCGTCAAGATCTTCCAAGAAACATCGCAAAAATATACAGAACTGAAAAGAGGAGTTCGGAAGGGATCCATGAATTGTCATCTGCCCAAATACAATCGGTTATGTCTGCCCAGGGTGGGCCTGTGGATATATATATATATATATATATATATATATATATATATATATATTATAAATTAATTGATTTAAAATATGTTTTTTTTGCTACACAGTTCTAACCATGTTTCAAAAATAGAAGCTAAAAGCCACGAATTTAATTTTTTTGTGATTAAATCAAACTAATGTCTTTGATTTACTCACAAAATTATATTCGTGGCTTTTAGCTTCTATTTTTGAAACATGGTTAGAACTGTGTAGCGAAAAAAAAACAAATCAATTAATTTATAATATTAATGCTCTGTAAATTTACATTGAGCACTATTTTGTAAAAATAAAAA